ATGCGTCCCAAACTCCGAGAGCGGCATTTGATCCGACTGAGATATTTACAAAGAACTATGTGCCGTTTGTAATTTGCACCAATGTTCCAGGTTATGATCGTGCAAGGATCAGAGAACCTTATCTAGAAGACGTGTACTTCGGTATCTTCCTCCGGCACCGCAAAGCTCTCAGTTCAGACAAGATTCTTAGGATTCATAAAGAATCTCAAGACTATCGTTTAGAGTACAAGCACTTTCTCAAGGCAAAGCGTTTCCCAATCAGCCAAGTTCAGACCAAACATCGAGTCGTCTCAATCAAGAAAATTGATGCCAAAGACTCCTTAGAGTGTGGTATCTGGTGTTCACTGTTACTCGACAAGATGGGAAGGTTTGGGTATTTAGCGAAGCTGATTTCTCTAATCTATATTTAGAAGACTTGGAGCATTTGTACCACGAACTGCGGAACATGATGGTCAGAAGAGAATGAGCACTTGTTGGTCTTAGTGCTATCAAAAGATTTATGCGGAGTCATGTCAAAGTGTCTATGGTTCTTGATGTCCAAATGGGTGTTGAAGACAGTCAGAGAATCATTAACTTGAAGAGACCTGATCAAGAGCTAGAAGAGATTGAAGGTTATCCGTTGTATATAATTCTTGAAGAACCGGAGTCCGAAGTGGTATACAGTGCCAAAGGTTGGATAAAGAAGTTTATGAGGTTCAGCGAGCTGAATAAATATTGTGATGGCACTATACAGATGGTGAGACGGGCGCTTGAAATGAGGAAAGCTGAGAACGATAGAGCTGCGGAATCCGAGAGGATGAGTCCTAAGGAAAGGTATTTGCTGATCAATGCCTTGAACCTTTTTGATGATAAGTTGCAGTATCGGAGTGCACTAAGGAGGCTAGAGACACTGCTCGGACTTAGAAAGACCAGATTTACAATGTCTTGACCTTGAATCCAAAGGGGGAGATTGTTGGGTTCAAGTTTATGCTTAAATGTTGTATTCAAGTTCTCTCATTGTAATGTTTTTGTAATTAGGCTTTACTATTTCCTTAGTATAAATAGGATTTAGTTCTCTAATTGTAATTAGTCAGTTCATAATTTCTGATTAGTGTTGTTAATCATCTTGTACTTTCTCTCAAGAAATTCAATATCATCTTTGGTGAAATTCTCTCTCTACTCAATCTTGATTCTTGTTCTTGAAGATTTAATTTGATTTGTATGATTTTGGGAACATCATACCTCTTGGTTTGCTCGGTGATCAAAACTCAGTTTAAGAAAAAAAATGTAAAATCCTTGACTCGACCGGAAGTGCGATGTGTCTGAAAACTCGGGATCATATTTATATTTATAACGCTCCGTCCAACACCGTAAATCACGATTCGTTGAATACTAACATAAGATGAAAACATGTCATTAAGTCAACACTTTCATTCTATATATAAGTGATATAATAGATATTTAGACTACATTTGTTATTATAAGTACTACAATAATCATAAATTTTGTTCAGAAAAAAAATGTATCATTTGCATTCGTTTTACATGAATCTTTTACCAATTGGTTGGTTTTAATTTCAACCATGTCTATAGATTTCAAAGCTCTATCTCGCATTTATACATCCATCATCTTCTTCCAAACTATCATCTCTATACCAATGTGAGATGATGAAAGTCAATCTTATTTCATATGTGAGGAACACCCAAACCTCATGTTGCCAATTCATCATCCTTGGTTTCACTTTTATATTTGCACTATAATTTTTACCATTTAGTTGGTTTTGATTCCACCCGTGGTATAGATTTCAAAGACGGTCATCCAAAATAAGACAACCTTATGAGACAAACTCCATGATTTGACACAAAGACATCTAATCCACCTTTCTTATACCGTAACTTTATTCAGATCTTTCAACTCTTCATTAATGTGGGACAACTAAAACTCAACCACAATTCATCATATAAGAATACTTAATTCTCATAGTGCCACCACAATACCCAAGGTTTTCTTATATATATATATATATATATATATATATATATATATATATATATAAAGTTTTTTTTTTCCATTTGGTTGGTTTTCTTCCCAATCATGGTTATAGATTTCAAAGAGGGTTATCCAAAGAAAGATAACCCTATGAGGCAAACTCTATTATTTCAAAGAGGGTCATCCAATCCACCTTTCTTATACACTTCATTTTCTTCAAATCTTTCAACTCTTTACCAATGTGGGATATCTCAAACTCAACCACAATTCACCAATACCTCAATACACTATTCTGATGATGCCACCTCAAACACTCATGGTTCTTCTTTTAATAGATATATAGATTTAAGCATTAGGACAAGTGGAAACTTGTTGCTGACATGATCAAGCATGGGTACGACAGATGTAAGGGTATGCCTTGTTAAACTACCGTCTTATAAAATTTAATGATAAGTTTTTGATGTTTATAAACATATTAATGAAATAAAATAACCGATATTGGAATTTACGTCACATAGTCTATTTCTTTCTCAATACATTTCTCATGTTTTCTCGAGATCACCATCTGAGATAGTTCCGACAAGCTCTCTCTTTTATCCGTGACCGATATCAAGATCTTGGGATTCATCTCCAAGAGTAATGACCAAACCCATCCTTCAATTCGACAACTAATGGATTTTGGTATCATCATTTGGCGCCAATCATGAAAAAGCAAAACAAAATTCGTCTCGTAAAAAAAATGTCAGATGGAAATCTATTCCAAACCCTCATCTCGAGAACTAAACAAAGAGTGTTAGATAATTTAGAGGAGTGAATATATAGGTTTTACTATCAGATTTTATACAGCTTTTACAATTTAGAAACATTAATGTGGAACAACTCATAAAACATACAATGGGTTCAACCACAAGTGTAGATATGAGTGGAAGAAATGACACAATTAAGTATTTATAGTGGTTTAAATCGTTTCAAAAGTCATTATTTACTACAATAAATGTGTTCCTTAATTATGGATAGACAAACCAATACAACATAGAACACTGCCTCATATTTCACTAAGTTGGTGATTCATCATCCACGTAACTAGTGATTTGCCTTAAGGAGAAACTACATTACTATCCGGAAACATACAAGTGTTTTCACAAGATTAGCATTATAAACCTATTTTTGTGTGTGAGTATGAGTGTGTGTTTCATTTATAAACCTAATTTTGTGTTTTTTTCACATGTAGAACATTTTTTGACGGTTCATTTATAAAACAAGATTGTATGAACAATTCATGTTCACATATGTTATTTCATCTATGAAACAACACATATTATGCTAATAAACTTTGCATTTATTGAAAATAGTACATATATGTGTACCTAGTTTTAGATATCACATGATACTCACCTTAACGATTTACCAAATTAAACCGAAACTATACTTCGAATACACCAACGGCTTCCACTCCCTCCAAGCCAATCACAAACACATAAGTTGTCTCCTTTTTTCCCCAAAACTAGCTTTCCCACTAAATCCTTTTTATATCTCTAAGGGGTTGTTTGTTTACCTATTAATAGTTTTATTAAGAAGCAACATCTAAATCACTAAGAGATAAATCTTGTTTCGAAAAAAAAACTTCTGCCTTTTAATGGTTCTAAAACCCTCTAAATGAGATTTATTTCATTTTGCATTATATCACAAGGCCTCTTAGTCATTCTGATACTTAATCATTCTGTATCAGATCATTCAGCAACTGTCAAGCTACTCATAAGTAATATGTGTTTGCAAAGAAATGAATGAAGGATGAGAGAAAAGGTCAACCTCGTCGTGCCACATAAAGTGGCAAATACGATTTTGTAATGGTTAGGGGCACAATCAAGTGTTTCAAAGAACTCTGAAACCAAATAACTCTTCGAACCAAAATGGTTTTGAATTATTCGATTTTCAACTTAAATGGTTCGGTTAGGATAAAGATTACTTATTCGGCTCGGTTTTCAATTATCTTTTACTATTTTGGTTAAACCGGGCACATTGTTCTACTACTTATATATTTTACTGTTTTGGTTAGATGCAAAACAGGTGATACATTACACATTAATACAAAATTTGATCATTTTATAATGGACTAGATGAATAGAGGAACAAACCACCGAAACGATTTGTAATGAAACATGTTATAACTTAGCCTTAAACTAATTTTTAACAATTTTGCAGACCTAGTAAAAATATAAAGCAGAATGCTTAATAGTTAATAAACATATAAATTAGTAGTCTAACAATAAAAATAAGATGCCAATAAATTCGTTTCAGTTAGAAAAAAAACATCATAAATAAAAGACAAAGTATCATCAAACCCTGAATCAAAATAGTAAACCTAAACTAAAGAACAAACTCAATTACCCTAAATCAAATAACAAGTAACAGAAAGAAAACTAAAACTAATAATAATAATGACGATGACGATGACGATGACGATGACGATGACGATGACGATGACGATGACGATGACGATGACAATGACGATGACGATGATAGATTTAAGAAAATATTTAAAGGTTATTGGCGGAATATGCCGCGGAATTTTAATTCGATTAATAAATTCTTTAATTTAATTAAGATTTTGTAAATATATTCAAAAAATTAATCCGTCGGAAAACCAAAAATCCGCCACTGGCGCCGCTTTTTCTTGGCGGATTTGGCCACCGAAAAAAGTGTTGCATTTACCCATAAACAACGGATGAAGAAATAAATATTTAATGATAAAACAATATCATATCCATTCTAGAGTTAGAATAATCTACTACATAATAATCCATAATTATAACTTGTAATCACAACACACATAAATTGTATTTTTAATAACAACATATATAACTCCAGTGTTTCAGTTCTTGATTTGTAGACCATATTAAACTCAAACAAATAATAAATACATAAATTGGTTGGAAGAGATGATCATTAATATATAAAGGATTGAAGATATAATTTGAAAGTTGAAGGGCTTTAATTAGGTTACCAGAAAAGAAAGTAAATCCCTTCTGTAGCTAGATTTTTGAGGTCATGGCCTCAACTTTCTTCAATCTTGACGGAAGTCGTAACGGCAACCAATCATCGTCCTCAGTGAACGATCTCGATAAACACTTGGCCACCATTTCATCGCTAACGTCCTCAAGTTTTGAGGGTACCCACTATCGACATAAACCAAACACTCGTTACATATTTATTGGATCAAAAACCCCTTTCACTTAATTTTCACTAGAGTAAACTACATATTTTGTCTATATGGTTATATAGGATTTATAACATGGTTCTTCAAAATGAAATAATTACATCTATAGTCATCGTGACAAAAAGTAAAACCACGTTAACTATAGATGTAATTATTTCATTTACGGGATCCAATCCATAATTCTTATTTAACCACAAAGAAGAAATATATAATTTACTCTTTTCATTAATATTTTAGAGTATTTAAGTGTCTAATAAATTACTTAATGGAACTTTAAGTTTATATGACCAACACATGTGATATCTATACAATGAATTTGCAATAAGTGATCAAGATGAATTAGGCTGCCTCTAGGGTGGACCCACATTTGTGCATATGGTGGCACATGCCACTTCTTTGTTCTTTCATCGTAATATGACTACAATAAAATTAGGTTTATAGTACGACAAAATTGTGTAAGTCTCCTAAAAAACTGTTTTATAGGACATAAGTTTATAGGAACCAACGTTAAAGTGTCCTGACTAAAGATGTTGCAAAAGGTTTATAATATGCTTTTGGACGTTTCGACAAGTTTATTATGACACTTTTAAAAATAAAACGTCGTGTTATCTATTTCTAGGACTCCATTTGATAAAAAAAAAGCGTGTAATAAAAAGACTTATTTATATGACACTTCTCAAAAGTGTCCTGTAAATAGCTAGTATGACATTTGTTTTAAAAGTGTCATAAAAAACTTGATAAAACGTCCAAGAGCGTCTTACAAACCTACTTTTACACCTTTACACATGACTCTTTTAACATTTGGTCATATCAACTTATGTCATATAAAACAGTTTATTGGGACACTTATACAATTTTTATGTCCTATAAACCAAATTTTATTGTAGTGTGTAAAAGAGTTTAGGGTCGTGAAATATGTGATTGTATTATTTTGTTGTGTACATATATATATATATATATATATATATATTGAAATTACAATGATGACATAAGTTTTTTTTGGGTAGAGTTGTTGGTTTGCATGACTTTTCTCTCATTCTAGGTGGAGGTTCTAATCCTGTTTGTCGCATTTTCTTTGGTTTTAATTTTTAACTTAAATTTATTATTTTTTGAAAAATAGTTGTGATAAAAGATTGACACAGAACTTCACATTCGAAAAGCAAGGAACTAATCAATGATAATTTTGTGAAAAAATATTCATATCTTCGTTTCTTACTTTATTATAGTCAAATGGTGTCGCCACATGAAAATTTTCCGAAGTCTACCTCTGGATGGCTTAACAAGTTATATCGGTTAAGTTGAAAAATATAATACGATGAGAAGTAAATTGTCCAATTTGCCAATTTATTTTGTAATGAATCATGTATAACAAGTTTTGTAAAAAGACTAATATATGACGATTTACTTGTTAAGTCCTATTAGACCGACTAACTTCATCTATAAAACATTTTAGGTCGCATAACAAGGTTTTATAGATTAATTATATAGTTGTTGGTCCTATTAAGGGGCTGTTTACCAAACACTTATCTGGTAAGTGCTTACCGCTAAAATTTAACACTATTATTTACTTGACGAGTAAGATTTTAGTCCACCAAAACGACATCGTATGCAACAATTTACCCGGTAAGTGCTTACCATGGTAAGAGTCTTCGCCCTCACTTACCGGGTAAGACTCTTGTTCTTTGTCTCGCTCTTACCTGGTATAATTCTCGGTTCTTACCATATCCACCGGTGAGGTAATGTTACTTGGTAAGCGCTTACCCGGGTAAGCGTTTGATAAACGACCCCTAAGTATTTAATTACGACGGTTGGACGTCCTAAAAAGCATGTTAGATCTTAAATTTACCTGGGGTTTTTTATCTTTGTCTACCAAGATAGCTCTAGATCCCTACACAAAGAACATTCTAAGCACATGAGTTTCAAGTTATTTTGAACATGGTGATAGTTTGATATTAGTGCGAAAATTAATGGGAGAACCTCATAGAAGTCGTTGCTAACAGTTCTACGTAGAACATGACAGATAGCAACATACTCGGTCTGAAGACACTGTTCCAAAGTTTTGGATCGACCTTCTCTAATCTGTCATAGAATTCATAACGCAAACATTCATAAGTTTCAAAGGTTGATTGTGACTTCATTCATATCATATATAGAGCTAAAAAGTCAGGTTCATACGAGATAAATAACAAAATAAGAAAATGGTCGAATCACATGTGATTATACACTAAAATCACGTGTACAATCACGTATAGGTCGCATGCCACGTCGCTTACATGCACACCCTAGTGTTGACTGTGCTACTGTAAAAACCACATGTGATTGTGCACGTGATTTGACCGTTTTTATGTTCTCTTATTTTATCAGTGTTCTCTTTTTAACCTCCCCGCCCTCTCTCTCTCTCTCTCTCTCTCTATATATATATATATATATAAATTACTAGTTGATCTCTACCGTTCTCAAGAAAATTTTGAGACCCGTTGGAGTGGCGGATCTCATTGATGTTATTGCGTCGTGGATCCACTTCTCGTGTACTCGATTAGCCAACCGTTCCTGAAACAAACCATAGACATTAGGTATCCAATACAAAGATACACTACAAAGAATTACGTTTATTATACGTTAGAAATGTCCAAGTGAATTAATAGACTATTTTATAGAACATAATTTCATACGACGGAACAATATTGTTCTTAGGACATTTTTAAAATAATTTTTGTTTTAGTTTTTTAATAAGACACGTTGAATAAGTGCTATGAACACACATCTTTTTTACAAATCACTTGTTTTTTACAAGATACTTTCCAAATTATGTCAAAAAAAAGAATTATTTATGACACTTTATTTCAAAAAAATATTAAAAGCTTGTTAAGAAACCTAAAATGATCATATAAAGTTATTGAAACAATTTTACATATGACACACAATTGTTTGGTCTACATTTAAATATCTTTGACGTCATATAAATCCGAATCTATCGTGGTGACATGTTATCTTGTAAGATAAACTCACCAACGATGATAATATTTCTTCACACGATTCTCCTGAGAAGCATTGATTGATCATATCGAGTCTGGTGAAATAGAATCAGAATCAAACAAGATTGGAAGAAAAAATCTGGTTATATACAAGTTTTCAAGAATCATGGGATACCTAGAATATGCATTCCCTGGCTTCAGGTCAACTTCTTCTGCAAACTTGTTAATAACCAAGGCCATTGATGCTGCACTTGGTGCATCCGTTGAAGCAACCATCTTTTCTAGAGCACTCTCCATTGATTGTAAACTCTGCAAGAATCGACATGTATAAGTATATATGGAACCCCGTTAGATTACTCTCCAAAAGAGCATTTGATCGGAAATGATCGATCTAAGTCGATCTAGCCGATGTGGGGCCCTAACACAATTGATAGATCATTCATATATGGTGTACAAGACATTGGAGATAGGTGAGTACCTGAGAAGGGATAAAATGAGTTCCGAGACCAAATGCAAGCATATCGGCTCCATCTAATCGAGCCCCAGTTAATCCCAAATATTCTCCTATGTAAAATATGATTGATTCATGACTAAATCTATATGAGTGTCCATATATGAATGTTATGAACACGATGTGGAGATGAATTACCAAAGAATCCTGGAAGTCGTGATAGAAAATAAGAAGCACCCACGTCCGGAAACAGTCCGATTGATGCTTCAGGCATGGCGAAAATCTACTTCAAAGAAACGATGAGTAGCGTGTTGAACATCAAATTCATCGGTGAAACATGGATTACAACAAAATTAGCTTTATGGGACACTAAATATATGTAAATATCATAATATACTGCTTTAATATATTGTATTACTTAAGTTTATAGAAGCAAACATTTATTCGACCTATGTAGAAGTGTTATAACGAGTTAATATACAATTTTGGGTGTCATGACATGTTTTAGAATATTTTTAAAATAAAGTGCTGATAGAACATGTTTCAAAATTGTATTACGATCGCAACTTTTGATAACACATTTGTTTTTATATGACGCCTTTTCAAATAATGTTATATAGAAAGTCTAACCGCGTACTTTCCCAAAAAAAAATTATTAGGATGTCCAAAAGTGTGTCATTACTAAATGGAATACTTTGGCATAGGGAATGTTCCTAGGAAATCATCGGTAAAGGGTGATTCGTTACAAAATCATCATAAAAGTTGATGGCTAAATTGTTGGTGGGTAATTCAAATCAATCACAGATTACTCAGGTATTGTATGGGTGATTTGTTGGTATTTCTCGAAAAACATCGGATTCTACCAAACCATTGGTATTTTCGGTGACCGACAGTAATTTCTCTAGGTGATTTTTGTGGGTAAAAGTCATTTGTTTTGTAGGGTGTTGCAACTTATTGCAACACATTCTATAGTATACCCATTTATCTACTCCTATAAACATAGGTGTCATAAAACAGTCTTTTAAAACATCTAGATATATTTGGCGTTCTATAAAACCGTTGTGGTGGCAGCTACATGAAAAATAGATAGATAGATACCGTATTCTCAGTTACGATTCTAAATGTTGCGTGTATCGATATACCAACGCCTCCTCCCATAACGCTTCCGTCTAGAATCGCAACCAATGGCTTTTTATATGTTGCAAGTATGTAATCCAAGCAAAACTCTTTCCGATAATAGTTTGTCCCGAAAGTCCAGTGTCCTTGTCAAAATAAAACGACATAGTTTTAATTGCAATTGCGTTTATTTTTTATCTTAACGGTTAAATAAGGTTTTTCTTACCGAACGCTACAAATTGAAAAGCAGACGTGAGATCACCACCAACACAAAATACTTTCCCGATCGCCTGCATATCAAAAGACAAACACAATTGAAGCAGATCATACGTGCCAACCACGTACTAGTGTTAGAAAACATTGTACTATCACTTCTTTTGTTGCCAAATTCGTCGATAGAACTTGTTAGGTCTATTAGGACGCCAAAAGCATATTGACGTACTAAAAGAGTCATTTTATCATATAAATCTATGAATTCCTTTTGTTACCTTCAATATCACAATCTTAATCGTGGGATCATTCTCGTACGCTTTCAATTTCTGTGTCATCTTACTTAACTGCAATCAATACGATGCAAATAAGCAATCGTTCACCATAATCGAGTACGTATTTTATTTTAGTAACATACCATCTCATAGTTGAGTGTGTTTAGTTTCTTTTGTCTGTTTAATATCACCTTTCTTCCTCCCACAACTTCTTCAAAAATCACCTGCAAAAATGGACAATACTCATGAACCCGTGGATGCCCACATCAGATAGCTTTACAAACGGTTTGAATATCTGGTTCCGTTTCCGACTTTTTAACCAAACCAGAAAACAAAAATGCAAAGCGTATGGATGAGTGAAGTATGTACCTGATCTGCTTCTCTATGGATGGAGGCAGCCATGAGTGAAACCTGCAACTAGAAAGGTTGAAGATATTGAGAAAGAATGGAAGTGATTATATAGGACATTTTGGTGTGTAGAAATATCTAAGTAGTTGGGGACAGTACTACACTAAAAAGCAGTGTATGGTACAACCCAATTGATGCCCAATGGATCTCAGAAACACAAAGTGTAACAAACGATACTTGGTTTTCTGATACATTTTGTTATCAAATTTCAACTATACCATGTGCTAAGATTTCAAAAAGGACAAATTATTAATAGGGCTATCTTTGCTTCACTTTTATGTGGTGACATCTATATTGTACCCAAAATGGACTTTTATTTAATTCTATTTCATTTTTCATTTCGTATCCGAATTCGAGGAGTTGGTATGAAACCAGGGAACTTGTTCCTTTTGAGAGGAACGAGGAAGTGACTTCTTGGTTCCGAACCATGGTAGTTCCAAACGCGAGATGTTAGTTAGGTTTCAAGTCTCTATTTGACGTGTGAAGTCTAGGGGCGGTTCAACCATAAGTGCGACGGGAGGAAGAAAGGACACAAGTATTTATAGTGCTTTAAATCATTTGTCCTACTCCACTTTCCGCAAGGCTCGTCCAAGAAGACGATTTACTACGATAAATGTGTCCCTTAATGATCGATATACGATATAGGACGTTGTCTCATATTTCACTCAAGTTGGTGATTCATCTCACCAACATAACCAGTGAGTTGCCTTAAGAAGAAATGAAACTACTTCAATAACTCGGATTATCATCCATCATTCTCACAACAAATAAGTGTAAACTAGTTTTCGCGAAACATTTGCTTTCTCTACTTCCTTTGATGCAAAATATCGTATTTTTATCTTTGAAAAAGTTGATAATAACCAAATCTCTTTTTACATGTAAAGATAAAAATCTCCTCAGCAACAGCAACATACATCTGGAAGTTTCTTCATGTCTCATGTAAAAGCCCGTCACATATTGATAAAATAATTAGATTTGTGAACTCCTTGTGATTTATTGTGGACTGTAAATAACTTTTACCATGTCTTTAAGTTGATTATGAGATATTGGGTTGACTTGCTACTTTGGTTTTGGGAGTTGCGAATGAGCAGCGCTAACAAAAACAACACCGAAGGTTGAACACACAAGGGGACTCACTACAAGAAAGATGACCTTCAGAGAATGTATTGTTTTGTACTTAAAAGTCTTAAAAGCTTCTCTAACGCCTTTAAATAAGCTTTTCAATTTTGTCAAAGAGCTTCTATGTGTAACGGTAGGTGAAGGTTTTAGAGAGGGTTTTCGGAGGATGTGTTTTTGTTATCTTTTAGAAACGCTTAATTGAGGCTTTAGATACACCTTTAAAACTTCTCTAAATGTTAGTCAACTTTTTATTCAAAGCTTCTTTAAAAATATATATATTAGTGACATTTTTCAAGTATTTGTGACGGTTTGTAAGAGTTACTAAAAGATACTTTTAGAGAAGATAATGAAAAAGTTTCTCTAAAGATATTGGCTTTAGTGACACTTTTAAAAAACATTTTTTAAAAGTTCTAATTAGTTACGGTTACGAAATCTTATCTAAATATGATCTTTAGTTTTACACTTTTAAAAAATTAATTCCTTCTCTAAAAAATATATTATAATATATATATATATATAATAATAATAATAAAATTAAACTAATAAATAATATAAAATTAATTAAGAACAAATTAATAATAACCACAAAACAATTTTCTATAGATTTGTTATATAATTTCTTATTATAAGGACCATCCAAATTTAATATTCAACTAGTTTATATATCGTCTAAATTTATCAACAAAAAACATCCAAAATCATCATAGCATGTTTAACGATCTTGAGTCTCCGAACGTTGGTCTTGAATAGTTAATGAAGATGAAAAACTTGGAACTGACCAGGCCGGATACAATTGACCTCACCATTTGTCACAACTCAGCGACTTCATCCTTCATAAGAAAGAGCTCGGATTTGGTTGAAGCAAGCTCAGACTCTGTTGAAGAAAGTCTAGACATCTCAGTGTGGCTCAATCGACCTGACGCACCGGTGCTATGTCGCGAACTTGTAGAACGCTCCTAGTGCTCGGGATCCTAGACCATCCCCGAATATATGCATGATTTTTACCTAAGACTTGTTGCATAATCTCTAGATCACCCGGGGGATTTTCTGTTGATTCAGTTTGCCGCTTAATCTCTACCATGTTCTCCTATGGACATAAAAATCATATATATAAATCTTAGTGATTTATAAAACGATGAAGACATGCAAAAGAGTTTGTTAAACGTAACTTACATATGAAGTGCGAGTATAGTCATTAACCCAACCCTCTTTTTCTCTATAATGCAACTTTCGAAAAGTCTATATCTCACTGATAAGAGGATTGTCGGACAATCCTCTATTTCGAAAATGGTGATTTGGAGTGCTCACTGTACCGTTTAAAGCAACATACTTTCGCTTCCCCCTTTTCTCAAAATTTTTCCTTGACATAGCCTACATAAACAAAATATGATTTTAGCAATAACAAAGATAAAAATATGTGTCAAACAGTAGGTTTCAAATGTTGCACCTGTTTTTATTCTAAACTACTCACACAATTCATGTTCCTTGCCTTAGTTTATGGATATACCTGTATCACTAGATGGAGGTAGCAAATGAGCACAGCTTAATTGGCAAAATACACTTAGGTTCAATTGACTTAATTTGGCCATCATGTGTTCTTTGCATATGGGTTCTATTTACTTGATAGGTGGAGAGCCAATGATGGACCCACAAGTTTAGAATAATAGTCTTTAGTGTAGGTATTGCAGTTTAACTTTATGGTATTATATGAGAGCAAAAAACACGTGCAACATATAATGTTCAACATCTAAGAAAAGTTATTGAAAATTAATTATACATCATTGGATATTTGAACATAAAAACAATAAGACAAGAGGATCATAAATTGATTATGGTATATTTTCATCCAGAACAGCTGCAATCGGTATCTGGTGGTATTCAAAACCCTCTGACTTCTTCATGTGATTCTTACACTGGAAATAGAAATTCAGATTGGCATGGACTGAAAGATGCTCACTATGCAATCGGAATGTGGTACCTTTGATCATCATAGTGGTGTTCAAAATCCATAGTGGTGTTCCTTTGATCATCATCGTTCTTTCCCTCTTTATTGCCTTCTCCCATACATCAAGCGCCTGTTTCTTGGACACCAAACCACCAGGTCATTATCAAACCCCCTTCATTTGTTTAATTTGCCTCTTTTATTATTATACCTTTATTAACATTTTTAATGTGTTTCAGGTGAAACCACAGTGAAACTTGATGAATCTATCAACACCAGTGAGGGATCTCTTGTTGATTATACCTCAACCGTGTTTGCACCCTCTACCTCAAAAGTTGAATCTTCTTTTTCTCTACCTCCTACCTCTGAACTCTTATCTTTCTCTGCAACAACCATTCTCAACCCCTCAACCCATCTTCCCTTATCTTTTGAAGTTCATGACGAAGATGAAGATGAAGATGAAGCCTGTAACCTCATCCCTATGAATTCGTCTAGACAAGCTCTGAGGTTGAACAAGTATTGAGGATGTCTCAGTTTATAAGTCAACCTCACCAATCCATAAAAATTCTTCTTCGTACCTCTAGATGTGGTGAGTTTGACTTTCTTTCAGAAGCTGAACGAGACAGAACCCTAAAAGATGAACAAGAGCTGAAGCAACATCAACAACAACTAAAAGATAGTTTGGAGTTAGCCAAGACTCTAGCAAATGAAGCCCATACTAAAGGGATGTTCAAGCAAAATGATTGTAACACCCCCGTCCCGCGTGGTCAAAGACGAGAGATGCCACAATTGGAATAAAACAAACAACGCACTATATAAAACAGAGCGACTAATAAAATTTACCAAAACATAATAACATAACCATAGACGGAGATAACGTGTCTCAAAATACGGTCCCAAAATACCAGTATGTCTACATAGTCATCAAAAATTTAACAAAAGTATGACTTAATGAGTTATCTTCAATATTGTCATCTCCGTAGCTCTCATCCCAAAATCCCTKCTAAGTCATKTACCTGCCGAGGACAAGAAAATCTCGGCTGAGCTTAATGCTCAGTGAACGGATAATAATAATRATKAAACAATRAATWTGAGATAACAAGTTCAAAARCAATTTATAAAACCATGTGATAATCCRAAAGAAAGTCAAAATGCCCCAAAAGCATATCAAGGGTCCGAAGACCAAACTGCATCACGAGGACGYATTGTTCCCAAAGGATGATCAGTCCATTCAGGCACAAGTRRRGAAAGGGGTGTGAGCACAACACAGCAATCCTCTCYGTGGATTTAACCACGRCYACAATTCAATATCCGATAACGGTTCCTAGGATCGATCCATACGCCCTCTATTYGACCGGTWCATAATCAAGTCCACTTTTAAGGACTATAAAAATAAGGAYGCYATRATCGTTTTAGTCACCATGGAAAYATCTCAATACCGGTGCTCCAGTTATTGAGTCTATTGTAAAATGTTTCACAAATGAAGYAATAAAACAAGTCAARTGAYCAAAATGATCCATATTCCGAATAAGAATATAAGTCGTAATTCAAAAGGAAACAAAGTTCAATAACATATGATAAGCATAAAGGGAATTCAAAACAAATTATTCGGAATTTATCACAGATTATCTGGATTAGGAAGCCTTACGCAAATGGTTATCCCCGTGTCAAGTGAGATATGAAATCCGTACTTTAACCGAATTTGACAATTAATGCACGATCAAACAGAAATTCACGATCAAGTTTGACTTGCCCGAGTGCCTAACGAATGCATAACCGATTACTATTTACAAAACATAAAAACCGTAACATAATTATTCTAATAAATTTACTTAGGTCTTAATGTACTTGATACAAATTGAAACTCAAACGTAAAAAGTTAACCTTATTCTCTTTCGATCCAACCGTTTCCGACCCTCTTATTTCTAAGCAT